GAGACCAGTGCGCTTTCACAAAATTCATAAAAACAAAGGCGCTAGAATTTGCCTTATCTATTAAGTGTAAGGAAGGCCAAAACCACAACTGTGAGAATGTGAGAAAATCAGAGGAATATACTCCACTTAATGAGCCCCAAACATGATTATGTGCGTTCTACATAATTCAAATCGTCTACCCAATACGAACTATCGTCATCGTAGTTCTCTGCCATCTGTCTGCCTGGAAAACGGCCTTAACAGCTACATTTATCCCAGATTAGTGATATCCTACAAGACACCAATGTGAACAACACAGACGGAAGCACTACACGTCGGCACAATCTCTATTTTGCAGGTGAATTAACTATATACGTTGCTATCTTAATATGCATGTAAATATATAAATAAGCAAAATAACCTCCGCATTATTGGTTTAGTAGAAAACTACCAGTTAAGAGTAACATCCTGCTATCAGTTCTCTGGATATACAGGCGTAGACGCATTGCCCCTAGCTTCTAGTAGCCCAGGGGGCAGTTTAAGCAGGCCATGGCACCATGGTACTTTAGCACGTGTACTGCATGGATGAAAAACCGCAAAAGCGAGCAGGCTGGCCAAAAACTTGTTGGGACACCTATCGATCATCCATCAGATGTCACCATCCGTAGGCTACCACGGTAACTAACCTGCTAGGTTCGGATAACGCATGTAGGAGTGACCAACGCCTATCAATTCTCCGGACCTATGATGCGGTTCTGCATCCATAAAATGCAGGTGCTAAAATACTATAGTGCCATGGTCTGCCTACACGGTCCCCTATGCTAATACAAGTAAAAGAACGGTGAAACAAAGTCGTGTAAATTCAGAGATTTGACAAAAAGTATATACACGTATATATAGTATAAACTTTGCATATACGATGATGAGTGTGCGGTTGATCGAAAAGTTAGTCAAGTACGTGAAAGGCTACTTCTTCGCACTGCTAACCACAGAAACGCGAAGTAGAATGATCGCGTTAAATACTATCGGTACAGCTGTTTTTAGCTTACAGAAATGATTAGAGCCGACCCCAGAGCAATGTTCCTGGTGCAGTTGGAGACACGAGAGAAGAAGGATCTGTCACCTAAAAAGGTTAGTTTGCCACAGACAGAGAGGGAGACAACGCACGATACGCAATAAATAATGTTGAATATGTTACAGTGACTCTCGTTACCTGGTCGGACGAACTTGATCGCCATTGGTCCTCCGCGAACGCAGCAATTTCTCAACCATTTCTGGGCATCATAGCTTGTCAGACCGGCCATCTTTCGGCCCTGAACCTCCAGAACAATGTATCCGTTCGAAATGCGGTCATTTTCGTTGAGGTACTTCAGTAGGTCGTTGCGAAGACACGAGACGATCGGAAAAGCGGCGTTTTCCGAACCTCCGGCGACTACGAAAGGGCAATCGGAATCGGCCGAAAACGAGAGCACGATTTCTTGGACTCTTTTGGTCCAGTGACCGCTGGACGTTGCTGTCTGCTCAGTCATATCCTCCGTTCCATATTAATAAAGTTAGCTACGCATGCTACATTCCAACGGCGACGGCAATGCTTCTACTCACAAAGGAGCATTAAGCTTTTAATTTACAGTATGATTTGCCAAAGGTTCTTTTGACTTCCTTGCCAAAAGCAAGAACGTTTCACAAATATGCACAATGATTTCGTCCAAATCGTTCAAAGCTGCAAGAAACCTGTTTTATTCATCATATCTATTGGAACTAAGATAATTTTTGGTAT